CCCGCGCGGCACAGAGAGCCAACTTTCCTCGCGGTGGACGATGCAATTGACTCAATGTATTTGTTCCATCTCAGGTCAGCAGTCAACGTGAGACCGAGCAGACGCAGGGAGTTGCTCTCAAGAAGTTGACTATCAGACATTCTAATGGGGAGCAGGGAAGGATCTCTATGTTGATTAATAGAGAGTAGTTTAGTTTTTGAGGCGTTAAAGTTGACCAGCCAATTCTTGCCCCAATTAACAACCGATTGGAGGTCCATTTCAAGACGAGCTGGCAGGTTAGTTTTGTCAGCGACACTAGATTTGTTTTTGAGGCAGGTTTAAATTGTAGTGTCGTCCGTGTAGATGCCAACTCGGGAATCTATGGCGTCGGGAAGGTCGTTGATGAAAAGTGGGGCCAAGGATGGAGCCTTGGGGAACACCTGCGTTCGTTGGATAGGAAGGCCGGCATGCCAAACCCTATCAAACGCTTTGGAGATGTCTAGGGCTACGGCACGAGCCTCACCGTTATGTTCTACTCCTATCATATCTAAGACGGACTCCTGAACATTTTGATCATGCAAGCAGCATCTTCATTACAAAGTGAGGGACATGTGAGAGTTACCACTGTCAAGATGAGGTTTTCGCGAGGAGTGAGATATGTTTTCTTGATCTGTGCGTAAAGCAACACACATTAAACCGACATATTATCTCATTCTACCAACGTGGAGAAATGATTAAATAACGGATCTATAGAAAGTATGCTTTGTCGAATTTCGAGCTGGGATCAGTGTTGTATATGTTTCGCTCCTCGAGGGAATCCAGATCGCAGGGATTCCATTCCTGCAACAAAATCTCCATTTTTACGCTAACAATGGTTAGCTGATCAGACGAATGAGTTTGGTGCGTCAATCACTTGGTGTGTCAACTGAAAAAAGCGTTGATTCAGAAAAAATGAATTTCTATATAGGATTATGTTTGTATATTAGAAGAAAAACACAGAAAAACTGTACATAAAAGGGGATTTTAATGCTGACGTTAATTACTTTTGACCGCTACTTCTCCTTTGATAGTAAGAAAACATCACACTTTGAAACAGAAGCCCTGTAAAACACTGGGGAATTCTTATTAAATTTTCGTTACTGAAAAAAACATATTCCATCCTTCACACATGGTTCGGTCATCCCATGAAATACTGGATCACACTGCAAAGGTCAGATAACGTAATAAAAATTTTTTCGTCTCTTGGCGTAGGAAATTTGTGATAGATGTTAAAGTATGCAACTACTGTTTCTCTAACTAATCTGTTAACCCCAGCAAACAAAACAATTCGCATCCGCCCACATAAACCATGAGAATAATAAGTGTTACACACAAAACGTTAAAAATGAAAGAATTCTGTATTGATCTAGAATTCAAATTGATGTCAATAAATCTTGATTAAAAGACGAAGAATAAATGTATTGATGCAATTAGCAAGCAAGCTTTGAACTGGAAGAATAGATTAAATTTAAGTACGTCATTTCTTCAACTACACCCTTGTGCAAGTTAATTGAAGCAAAATTTACTTTTTTTCGTCTTTTGCCAATGGAACCTGATCCAGTGCACATGTTAGTACTTCTTATGTCCATTCCGCGAAGTCTTTCCTCGCAGATTGACCTCAGATTCTCGATTGGGTTTAAATCAGGAGAGTTTCTAAGGCAATCGATAGTACGTTAACTTGCACACTGGTAAGGCTTGCCGTTCTCTTCGTGCAGCGTTATAATTTTCGTACGCTTCCTTGGAGTAACGTCCAATGGCCGTAGGACAACTAATCGATAGCCTAGACAATAGTGTCTGGGCGTGGTGAAAATCTGATGCAATCACGGATGACGCAAAATGTTTCAAGGTTAAACAAATTTCATCATACATCCCGAAAATATACTGCAAATTTCTAAGGAAAAAAATAGAAATCAATTACACTCTGTCACTCCAGTGGGTATAAAAATGACCGTGTGGTGAAAGAAAGGAAACTAAAGAAATTGTTTCAATTAATTTGCACAAGGGTGTAATTTTCGATTTTAACAAACTCCAGAGAAGATGCTTAAGCAGCATCTAAAATCTTAACCCCTTCAAGTCTAGGTTTAACCGATATCTATCCTACATATCCTCATAACATACACTTCGTGCTTCCTCCTCTCACTGTTGCTTACGGTCTTTCAACAATATTACTCAGTAACCCTCTACTTTGAGTAGATTTTGAGCATTGGATTAGTTGAACAAAAAAAAAATACTCGTTTTTAATTTGGGAATTTTTTCTACAAATTAAATTACAGATATCCTTATCCGACTATCCAGTGTGCGCAGTTCGAATGACCTTTACTAAAAGATGAAGAACGTATTTGAAGCAACAGAAATGTTGTTCTACAGAAGGATACTGAGCATGCCATGGACCCTACATTTAAGCAACGACGAGGTTCTTAACATGGGGAAGAAAGTGTTGAAATTTCTGTAGAACATAATGTGGAAATGGGGCTTGGTAAATCTGATGCGCAGAGGGCAGATTAAAAGCAAGTGGGACATAGGAAAACAACGCATAACATACTTGATCGGTTTGAGTAAATGGATAGCTGAAAATGGATTAATAGAAATAACAAAAAGACACAATTTATTAAAAGGTACTAAAGACAGGAAATTGTGGAGAGCCATAAATACCTACGTCCTGGGGGAATACCGCACACAAGGGATATTATTTCAGTTGATGAGAATCCCGCATTCTATTCCAAGTTCAAGATAGGCATTGATCCGCTCCACAAACCAGAACTAACTTAAGCTTAATGATCAGCCGTTAAATTCTTATAATCATTAACGTATATATATATATATATATATATATATATATATATATATATATATATATATATATATATATATAGTAAATTTATATATAATAAATAAAATATATATATAGTAAATATAAAACATCCATATTTTTTGTTATATACAATACCTATGAACTCTAAAAGTAGGTTCTAATCATCATAAATACGTTGGACACTAATGTAAGTGGGGGTAATATGCTGTCTAGGTAGTCCACCACTAGCAGTGGTTTACCTACTCCACGCCGCTGGCGAGTATTGTTTTTTTTTTTTTTTTTTTTTTTGATGTTATAAAGATTACCATTTCATTTCCAAACTCTGTTTTTGTTATTCCTCATTCAGTAACCCTCTCTAGACTACATATATATATATATATATTAATATATATTTCCTTTTATATATATATATATATATATATATATATATATATATATATATATATATATATATAATTGATAGCAATGAGTCTAGAAGCATCCTCAACAGAATGGACTATTTGGGACTCATCAGCCCCAGTGTGCATACACTACCAAGAATAGAACCTGAACCGTTTCGATACAACGCAAACGTGATACCAACTGTACCACGGGACTCGCTGACTAAGAAGACACAAACTAGACTCAATATTGCGTGCCACTCACTCAGTTCCGCAGCAATACTCATCCAAGTATTCAGATAACCTCTGAACAGTGCCCCAAGAGCCACGACTGCTTCTTGACCCTTAGCCGCTCTATCGCAGGATCAACCTCAATCAGTTAAATTCCTGGTAATATTTCGTTTTACCAAAAGTCTATTTCTGGTAATATTTTTCCTTCAAAAATGTATTACTGGTAATTTTTTTTCCTCAAAAGTGTATAGCTGGTAATATTTTTAAAAAAAAAGTATTGCTGGTAATATTTTTTTTCAAAAATGTATTGCTGGTAATATATTTTTTTTCAAAATATATTGCTGGTAATATTTTTTTTTCAAAATGTATTGCTGGTAATATTTTTTTTCAAAAATGTATTGTTGGTAATATATTTTTTTTTAAATGTATAGCTTGTAATATTTTTTTTTCAAAAATGTATTGCTGATAATATTTTTTTCTCCAAAAACGTATTGCTGGTAATAATTCTTTTTAGAAAGTATTTCTGATATTAAAACCTATTTTTACACTTTCATAGTGTTTTGACCCTACTTTTTGTGGTTGGGTGGGGGTAACAATTTGCCCATAGATGGGACCCTATCAGATGGTCCCCCGCCGGATCAGGCTGGACCTGAGAACACCAGCAATTAAGAGGTGGTTCCACGCTCCTCAAAACCTCCTGATCAGAGGCCTTGCTGTTGGATGTAGTTTATCGTCATACCCAGGACGGTCGTTTTATTTGAATGTAATGTTTACGACGACATCGGTTTCTGATTCGTAACAGATGCTTCTCGCTCGTCCATTCATCGCCCCGAATCGATGAAAGCGTGGATTTTATAGTGTTAATCGAATCGAGGACTCCGAGTTGGACGCACTTTTACGAATGAGGAAGTACAGGGATGAGTTGGAGAAGCCATATCGAACTCTGAACGAGAGACGTGTTCCTGCTCTTGTCATACGTGATGCGTATCAACGAGTTGAGAGACTAACAATTACCAGCGGCGTTAGGACTGTTCAGAAAGTTTTTCTTGATTGAAAAGTAATCAATTCTCGATGGCAAGTTCACCTTCCATCCCACACCATTTCTCCAGCCATATCTATCTATCTATCTATCTATCTATCTATCTATCTATCTATCTATTTATCTATCTATCTCAGTCCTTTCGTATCTATCTATCTATCTATCTATCTATCTATCTATCTATCTATCTATCTATCTATCTCAGTCCCTTCGTATCTATCTATCTATCTATCTATCTATCTATCTATCTATCTATCTATCTATCTCAGTCCCTTCGTATCTATCTATCTATCTATCTATCAATCTATCTATCTATCTATCTATCTATCTATCAAGCACTTTGAACATATGTATATGTATATTTATTAATATATACTTAGCTCTGTCTAAAAACATTAAGTACTGTTTGTTTACACTTTATATTAAATTGAGTAAATATTTATTTTCTTACCTGTGTATGCACGCTAACGTAGGTATATACGTTTGCTAATATCTAGTTATTTGCTCTATCCGCATTAAGATGTATCTATCTATCTATCTATCTATCTATCTATCTATCTATCTATCTATCTTTTTATCTATATCATCTTCATATCTATCAATCTGTCTATCTATCAATTATCTATCTCAGTCCTTTTTATCTATCTATCTATCTATCTATCTCAGTCCTATCATATCTATCTATCTATCTATCTATCTATCTATCTATCTATCTATCTATCTATCTAGTTAAGAAGTTTTCAATATATTGTGATTAAATCGGAAACAATCATTATGATTAGTATTGATTTTTTTTAAAACTGTATTATTGGTCAGCTGGGCATAAAGTAACTTTAAATGAACCTTAAGTTACTCCGGCTTAATGTCATAATTTTGGTGTTTTCAATTAAGACATAAATCTTTGTACTGTGAATACATTGTTTACTATCAACTGCTGCAGGATATAAAATCTAAGCATACAATAAGTGCCAAGATGCTTCTTGTTGGAAATCCTCTTTTTAGTTCATGTTTTAAGAACTCAGGTGAACCATTCGATCCTTCGGTTACTTTACAGTATAACACCCAAAAGCCCCCGCTATTGAAAATGTACCATTCTGGTGTGAAATTATCTGGTTATTTCGAAAATAACATTAAAACATTGCGCTCGATGACCATTTTCGATTTATCGTCAATGTAAGTTCAATCTCTTTCGCGGTGTCCCGCTGCCATTATTGGCGTTGCTTTCATAAGTTTTCCTCTAGCTGTAATGCGCGGAAGTTTACTTAGTTAACGGCCTTTTTGCAGCTTTTCGTATCTTACACTTCTTGATTACTGCGCGATTTTCGCGGATGTTATTTTAAAACGCGCTTATTTTTTTAAAATGAAGTTTTAAATGAAAAGTACTTTTTTTTCTTTATTGTCCTTAATAAATCTGCTTATAGCTAATGAAACGAAATATCACCCTAAAATGTAATTTATGGAGCTTTAAATTCAAGAAAATTTCACGTCACATAAAAAAAAACATCGTTGAAAAAATCCTTTTTTTCTTTACTTTTCATTTTATTTTTTATTTTATTTTAATTATCGGATTGTACGTTTTTTCGCGCATTCGTTTCAAACTTCGCTCATTGCGCAATAATCAAGACAAGTGAAGCTTCCGAGCCGCATGACTACTCGAGGCTAACGTATATTAACAAACCCAGTAATGGCGGACGTTCTGTGTACGCGACGAGAAAGAAGTCGAACTTACATTGTCCGTAATATCTAAGCGTTAATTGTGCGCAATGTTTTAATGTCATTTTCTATATAACCAGGCAATTTCGCACCAGAATGGTACATTTTCAATACCGGGGTCTTTTGGTGCTTACGCTGCAAATGAACCGATCCTTCTAACGAGTAAAGTAATCTAGTAAACTTTTCCAAAATGAAGTAGTAAGCTAATTTAAAGTAGCCCATTAGTCTACTACCTAATTTGGCAATGTTCTAGATTCTCTAATAAACTGCGAATTGGTTAAGCATCACACCTCGCAGGTTTTTCCATCAGATAAGTAATATGGCTTTCGCTTCTCTAGGTCAACTTACTGATGTGTTAATGGTTATTGTCGAAAGAGTCTATCAAGATTTGGATAAGAAGATTCTCACTGAATATACGTACCATCTTTGATATGCCATTTCCGTCTTTCCCCGCGTTCAAAACGGAATAAATCATTACTTACGAGGTACTGTTAGATTTGGTGATATCTTAATGTTGTGAGGGAGAATATGTCCCAACATGCTTGGACTGGGCCGACGGATAAAAGACATAAAAATACTCCTACATCAAGAGGAGTATCAGGAGGAGCAGTAGCAACAATAGCCTTTGCTAAAAACAGTCATTAAGGTTAAACATTTTCTTCCCTAGTTTTTATCCTACATTATGTTACCCTGTACCAAAAGGTAATTAACTTGTTAAACCAATTCCGCTTTTCTACTGTTGTTTTTGACAACTCAGTTACACTATTAATTCATTCAAAAATGGAAGAAAACGAATGGCATTAACAATTATATTTATCAAAAATATATAATTACATTTAAATTAATATTCTTTTCTGTTGTAGAGTTTGTGAAGAAAAACTTAAAAAAATCGCTTAAGTTGGTTTTCCATATTTGGATATCATTTTATTAATTATTAATAAGGGTGAATATTTCCCTACAAGTTTGGACTCGGCTGCCGGATGAAAGACATAAAATACTCCGACATCAAGAGGAGTAGCAGGAGGAGCAGAAGCAGCAATAGACTTTGCCGAAAACAGTCATTCACGGCTGAACATTCTCTTTCTTATTTTCTCTTCTACATTATGTTTCCTTGTTCCAAAAGTTAATAAACTTGTTAAACCAATTCTGGTTTTCTACTGTTGTTTTTGACAACTCGGTTGCAAATTGAAGTCTCATCATTTTACTGTTGAATTGGCAATATGCATCCGTACATTCTATGCTAACCGTTTCTTCCCTCGCACTTCTCGCCTGTGGAACTTTCTTCCAGCTTCTTGCTTTTCCATCTATTTTCATCTGCAAAAATTTAAATGGAATATCCATCGTTAATTACTATTTTCTTAATACTTGTCCTTTTATTGTTCTCGCTCCCGAATAATTTTTTTATTCTTTTTTTTTATTCTTTCACACTCAGCAACCTCTTGTATTTATCTGGTGCCAGTAATGGATTTATTGCCTTGCTGGTGATGAAATGATTTTAAAAATGCAATATTGTTGTAGCATACCTACGGACGATAATGGATATATTCACATAAATACAGTAGTAAATACTGTATGTTGGTCTGCAGTTGGAGATTCGTCTCCAGCTGTACTGGTCAAACTCTCTGGCTCCGGGAAGAGAGGATCCCATACGAGGGCGGAGTCTCGTCTTGGGAAACAGCTGCCCGACCCCGTTTTATACGTGATTTACAGGGAATCGGATGCCCCACATCTAACCGCGTAGGGTGGTTAGTAGATATCCTGCAGTTAAGGATTCGTCTCCAGCTGGTCAGAGAGGATCCGCAGACGAGGCTATGTCGAACGGCTACTCGACTCCTATTTATACGGAATCTACGGGGAATTTTTAAATTAAATTAAATTCGGCCTTGTGCCACATCTGACCGCGTGGGGTAGTTTTTAGGTATTCTGCAGTTGAAGATTCATTGTGGAATTCACTTATCTTACTTCTAGCAGTTGACTACTTCTACTCGCCGCTGGCAAATCTTATATGTGTTGTTCTTGTCCTAAGTATTATCGTTCATTACAAACCTTCGTTTAATTATCCTATTCATTAACCTTCTCTAGGTTACAAAGAATATCAATTGCTATCTAGTTTCTTTCTGAATCAATGTTCTCTATTTTTCTTTCCTTACTTCTCTTCACTAAAGTTTTCTAAATCCCCACTTGTAACCCCTTGCGTCCTTGTGACCTTATGGCCTTGCTCGACGTGGGATGATTAAAAAATACATACTTGAATCCTGTAGGCTATTATTCATGCATCAATACTATTGAGGCTTACATCAAATGTTCCTCTTACCTCTGCTACGGTTACTGTGTTGTTGTCAGGATTAGCTCTCTCTCTCTCTCTCTCTCTCTCTCTCTCTCTCTCTCTCTCTCCCGACGTTTCATTATCTTTTGTATTACTGTACAAAGAATTAAAAAAAAACAGCAATCCCCACTAATATGTCTTCAGTTAATAGTTCTGACGAATAAAAGCTTCAATCTATTCAGTTTTCGACCAGAATTGTCTAAAAATGATGCAGATATGAAGGCGAAGACGCGAGAGAAAGACTGGTTAGGGTTAGAAGTACGCTGGATTAATTTCCTGTCTCTTTTTTTTTTAAAACCAAGATTAACTTGTATTTGTCTCACAACGTGCGCCCTAATACCATTCCCTCAATGTCTCCGTGATCTAAATCTCCAGGACAGAAACGATCCCGGTTTTCCACAGCTTCCTTTCTCTTGTTACTCTCAGCAAGATTTGCTTCTTTATAACATCACTTTGTATTTGAGACTTCTTTCCCCATCGATTTGTCAAACATCTCAAGCAGGTTACTGATTGCTTTCCTCTTTTTTAACACGCCCTATGAGTGTTACACTCTCCGTGCTTCCCTTCTTTATTAGTCACCCCCAAAATTGCGAGCATGGTTTAGCTTCATAAAATTTATTAATTACGTGATCTGCATATGATAAGTGCATAGAATAGGGGTAGTTTTTCCCAATACCGCAAGTTGCTACAAAACCAAAACAATAACCTAATAACTCTTAATGTTCTTAAAGCGACTCATCAGATCGATACTTTCATACGAATATCATGAATTGCGACCAACTTGTTATTAAATTCCTGAATATTCAACCGTATATGACCGTTTTCTCAGATCAGTGTTTTAAAAAAAATGGCTTCGAGAGAATGAATCTTTTCGGTCTTAGAAAGGACCGTAATTCATTCGAAACTCGTGAACTGACGCTACAGAATCACGAAGAACTGTATCACATAATAGAAACAACGCCACATAAGGGCATTTAAAAATAGCTAAAAATAATACCATAAGGAAGTTCCACGACTATAATGCAGCGTGCGATGGATAAATTGTCGTCGAAATGACGCAAAAATAAAAATAACAGATGTACGGGATGCGATGGATAAATTGTCGTCGAAATGACGCAAAAGGAATGAAAATAACAGATGTACGGGATGCGATGGATAAATTGTCGTCGAAATGACGCAAAAGGAATGAAAATAACAGATGTACGGGATGCGATGGATAAATTGTCCTCTAAATGACGCAAAAGGAATGAAAATAACACTGAAATTTCATTTTAAAAGATATACAAGGTACGATGGATAAATTGTCGTTTTAAATGACGCAAGCAATGAAAATAACACTGAAAATAACACTGAAATTTCATTTTAAGATATACAGGCTGCGATGGATAAATTGTCGTCTAAATGAAGCAAAAATGAAAATAATACTGACAACTCATTTAATCAGATATACAGGGTGCGATGGATAAATTGCCGTCTAAATGACGCGCGTGCGCACACACACACACACACACACACAAAAATAACACTGACATTTCATTTTAACAGATATTTACCAAAATTACACAAAAATATCTTGAAATACTAAAGAGTAAATTTATTAACTAAAATCACCATTGTCTTCAAACACAGCATTCAGACGACTTCGGATTCTCCAGCATCTCTTCTGGACGGTCTCCTTGTTTTATTCGGGGAATGCTGCCATAATCCTTACCTTAAGTTCATTTTTGGTGTCAAAACGAGTTTTGTTGGTCTCTTGCTTAACTGCACCTCACACATAATAATCAAGGGTGTTGCAGTCTGGGAAGTTAGGTGGCCAGATGTAAGAGGCGGATGTGGTCGCAGAAATTTTCTTGTGCGGCATGATGCAGAGACCTGTTGTATTCCAGCCGCCACTCATTTGACCTAGGGCATCACTACCTTCTCAAAGACCTTGATGTAGGCCTCCGTATTGAGTCTGAGGCCCTCGCCAACAAATTCGGAAGATCTTATCAGAATGACCAGAGTGAAATTTCGAATCTACAGTACCTTCGTAATTACCATTAGACCCATTCAACTCTTTCCAAAACCTCTACACCTTCCTCAGATTAACACCTAAACACTGAAATGTTTGTATTGGAGCTTCCGGCGCGAATATCAAGCAGTAAAGCAAGTTATTTCCAAATTTCTGGTGAAGTGAATTTCGACATTTTGCTCTTTTTCTATCAGACGCTGCCCAATTGACTCTACTATATTGTGCAGTGAATAAAATCAAAAACAAACAACGCGCATGCGCGAAATTAGAAATATAAAATGGCGACAATTTAACTATCGTACCCAGTAGTTCCACACTATTTCGAACAAAAGTTTAGGAAGGGAGATCCTATAATCACTGGTAAAGTGGTATTAATTACGGATCTTCCGAAACATGTTTTCCTGAAAAATTGTTTTAATAGAATATAGTTGGAACACTGTTTCTTCAGTCGATGGATTCCGAAAAGGAAATGGCTAATATTAATGTTAATGTGAAATCGATAGATGTGAACGCGATAAAAACCAGTATTATCGAAATATTTTTATTCGTTAAAATCAACGATGACGATTTTGGATATACAACAAAGTTCTAGAGCTTGCTTAATTTAGTTTATTTTAGATTTAAACTTGGGCAGTAAAAGTGGCTTTTCTCTTGATACAGTAGGAAAGATATTATTGGATAATACGGCAAAATGATTTCCGAATTGGGAGGTGAGACGTTTGCTCGGAAATCAAGAAAAGTCAGCAGGTTATATTAAGTTAAGAGTGGGGAAAAAAGCAAGTAGAGACGGCGGGGTGTGAAGCACTGTCGAGGTGAATAATTGCGAGGAAAGATCAGTACTAAAAATACAAACACATCTGGAGAAGTATCAGTTTAACACTAGCTTGACACAACACAAGGCGCCAATGTATAAAGCTGAAGCGAAATCGATGCCGACCTGGTGAACTATTTTTACGGCCTTGTTTCGTACTCGACGAAGATTGTTAAATATCAAGAACCGACTTAGTCGAAGAACACTTTCTTCTTTTTATGTACCGTGTCCTTTCAGGTTGTAGGCGATCATGGCTCTCCACTTCCTCTCTATCCCTTGTAGCTCTCAGTAAGTTTCGTCCCTCTGCCACCTCCCCCCAGATCACGTTCTGTCATCCACTTGCTTAAGCCCGCTAGGTATGTTATGCGTTGTTTTCCCTTGTCTCTCTTTCCCTCTATTCGACCTTTATGTACCGTGTCCCTTCAGGACGTTGGCAATCATGGCTTTCCACTTCCTCCCTATCCCTTGTAGCTCTCAACAAGTTTCATCCCTCTGCCACCTCCCTCAGACCACGTTCTGTCATCCACTTGCTTAACCCTAGAATACTAACCATGGGTATACACTACCCAGCGTAAATTCTCCTATTTTTAATTACAATTTTCAGTACCGGATTTTCTTATCTAAATAATGTTTTTCAGTTCCTATTAATGTTAACACAAATTACAAAGTTTGAAATGTCTGTATGTAAAATATTTCAAATAAAGATTTATAATTAATATTTTTTTTTTTTTGATATTTTCAAAATTGGGTATGATATACCCATAGTTAGTAGTGGTAACTTTAATTGATGGTTAGTGTTCTAGGGTTAAGCCCGCTAGGTATTTCATGCGTTGTTTTCCCATGTCTCTCCCTCTATTCGACCTGTGAGTATCAGATTCTCCAGATCCTCCTTTCTCATTACGTGTCCCATAAACTTCGGCTGCCTTGTCCTGATGTTAAGTATAAGATTTCTCCTTGTTTACACCCTGTCTAAGACCTCATCGTTGCTCACACGCTCCGTCCATGATATCCTGAGCATCCTTCTGTAGAATCACATTTCCGTCGCCTCGAGTCTCTTCTTCATCTTTGGGGAGACAGTCCAACATTCGCTACCGTAAAGGAGGATAGATATAAAAATAGTTACCCACTATTAAACCGGAGGCTGTGCATTAAGTCATTTTTCTCTGCCACTGTTCAACCGGTGGCTGGGCATTACTTTATTTTTCTCTACCACCGGTAAAGCGGTGGTCACAGATCGAAGAGTTAAGCCTAATCAACCAATGCTGAACTTCTCTAAGGTGCAAGCATTTCTATTACAATTCCGTCTTGTCCTGCTTCGTTGTTTCTGTTCAATTTGGTCATTGCTGATTCCACTTGAGATTTTAATATTTCTGCTCCTTCAATATTTCGGTTTATTTTGCCGGTTTTCTCTTTCGTCGTGGAAGAGTTCTCCGATATAATCGTTCCATCTCTGATGTATATTTTCTTTCTTTAATATCACTCCATATCCTTGGATTTTATGCATCCTGTTGACGAGAATCTCTTTTGTTCGGTGAGTTCTCTTATTTTTTATGCATATCTGCTTTATCTGTGATACTTACTGTTTCTTTTTCAACAGATCTTTCGTAGTCAATCCTCTTTAGCCTGGCCATAAATAACACGTTCCTTGTTACAGTGCCTTTAATGAAACTGTCTTTGAGCTATTTCCAGTCTAATTTTGCTGTGCGTTCTACTTATCAGAATTCGGATGGCAAGATTTGTTCTATGGCTCGTTAGGCTGATTGTCCGATGGAGTTCGCATTCGTTTGCATCGAGATCCTTAGGCAGTGCTAGGAAAATGGATTTACTTAAATTTTATTTTTACTTCAATTTGTCATCTTTATTTCCTCATTAATTTTCTTTTCCCTTGCGTGGGTTGGCAAACACACACGGATGTTTGCAGTGCGCATGCGTACATGTCTTTTCCAGTGTTTTATAAAATTTTCATTTACCTTGCCAAGAAAATATGGCAAATATGTTTGCCTCTGTTTTCTTTTCTTTTTAAAAGATGTTTTCAAAAATCGCTGAATCAACCAAGCGTGATTCATTGTGTAAATATATAATTCTCATAGGAATAAATAAACAAATAAAAAATTTTGACTTCTTTGCCTGAAAGAAATTTAGAAAGATGAATCATAAGGAGGAAAAAAGGAAAAAATATTATTTATCTCGTGGTACTAAGATTAAATACCTTCGAAAACTAGTAAAAAAGTCCTATATACCGTAGGTAAGGTCACACACACATATATATATATATATATATATATATATATATATATATATATATATATATGCATGTAAAGGTAAAAGACAATACGAAATATGTATTATTAGCCGGCGCGTTTCGTCCAATGTGGATTTCTCAAGGCAAAAACTTTTTTATTAAATTAGAAATGTTTTTAAGAAATTCATTTCTTTTTGCCTTGAAAAATTCCAGATTGGACGAAATGCGTCGGCTAATAATAATATATATATATATATATATATATATATATATATATATATAGAGAGAGAGAGAGAGAGAGAGAGAGTCCTGTAATGACGGGACATATTTTAAATGCAGGTATCTTGGATTATAAAAATGACATAGAGTACCAAATTTATTTATTACATAACTGATACACAAGACTTTAACATATTATCTAAGATGTAAATATTAAATCCCTGAGATAATCATCACCACGAAGCGAACATGCACAAGTTCGCTCTCTCATTTTAAACACATACATTATGAGGGTCCACCGTCATCAAAAGAAATATCTGATACCTGTAGAAAATAGCAAAATCTAAAAAAAATATATTAAACTCTTGATTATCAGTTATGCAATAAATATATTTGCTACTCTGTCATTTTTTATAATACAAGACACTTGCTGTGTCCCAACATTATGGAACACCGTGGATGTGGATATATATATATAAATATATATATATATATATTTATATATATACACAAACACACACAATACGACAAAAATTGTATACTTTTGTGACTCAACGAACACCCGTTGTCAGTTTGATGAAGTTAACGAATTGTCACTTTCGAAATGCTCGTTGTAGTAGAGACTTTGTAATCGCAGATACAACTATAATAACGCAGTTGAACAATACTAGTGTCAGATGCCTTAGAATAACACTCGCACTAATAGTACTTGCTAGATAATATTCGCTTGACAAGTAATCCGTATAGTGATCCGAATAGTATAATGAATACAGTAGAGAATAGCGGTCCGTATATTAATAGAGGATAGACTAGAAATAGCGACCCGTATAGTAATAGAGGATACGATAGAAATGCTATCCGAATAGTAATAGAGGATAGGCTAGAAATAGCAATCAATTAGACACACGTTACGTCCCATATATAAATACGATACAGTCTTTTAGTCTCCAATTTCTCCATCTTAAGAGCCGTGAATTGAGCAGACTGCTATAAAACATGCAAATCTGTTTCGCTCCTGGCCGATCCTAAGCGTCATGAGTCGACTAGGTTGCTTTAAAGAAAATGCAAATCCGTTTCAAATCTGTCCGATCCTAAGTACCGCGAGTCGAGCAGTCTGCTTTAGAAACATGCAAATCCGTTTAAATTCTAACCGATCCTAAGCGTCCCGAGCCGAGTCGACTATTTCAAGAACATGCAAATCCTTTTTAATCCCGGCCGGTCCTAAACATTTCGATTTGTGTAGACTAGGTTAAAGAAAATGCAAATCCATTTCAATCCTGGATGATCCTAAACGTCTCGAGTCGAGTAGACTACTGAAAGAATATGCAAGTCCGTTTCACTCCTGGCCGATCTTAAGCGTCGCGAGTCGAGTGGACTTCTTTAAAGAACATGCAAATCAGTTTCACTCGTCTTGTTCGGAGTGAGTGAAACGAATTCATTCTTTTTGAGACCATATCTTACGGATTTTTGTAAACGTTTATTGATCCTTTCGAAAACCTCTCTACCTTGACTGGCTCTTAGGCTTTATATTTGGTGAACAATAATATAAAATAATGGCCTTTCGTTGCTAGTTTTGACTCATGAAATGTTTCAATACAGTTCATCACCCTTTTTCTGCAACAATGATAAGTTTTAATGTCATATTCGATATCCATTATTGATTATTATTTAAGCTTTGCGTAGAATGTGGAATCAAACACTTCCTTTTTACCTTTCATTACCACATTCTCCGGAATGACCTGCCTAATATTTTATGAACAAGATTGTAAAACATTAAAACGAAATAATCATGCCATATTACTGGCGTCATATAAACATTGAACATCTAATGAAAGTTTTCTATATTTTCTAACTTTCTCCTGCCAACCTCACGTTGTCTGCCAAATGCAAACAGTTATTGTCATTTATATTTGACTGTATATTTGGATTACAGTTTTATTGAATTTCCAGTCTATAAAACTATGGCCATGTTCTTGTTGACACCATAAATCGATAAAGGCATCGAGTGTGAAAGAACAGTTTTAGGACCAGACATAAAAACAAGAGGTCTGAAAGATCTTTGAAAGGTCTCACTGAGCAATTCCATGAAGGAAATCCAATAAATACGGCATTTTAAAATTACAGAGCCCAAAACAATGAGAAACTTCTGCAATAAATGAATTTGCATATTTGTATCTATAAAAACAATGTATAAACATAAAAATGTCTTCTTCGAAGCGTTTCGTCTTCCGACTTTATCAAGGCAAAAAATGAAAGCAACCTATGGCTAAAAAAACATTGTGCTTTCATTACTTGCCTTGATAAAGTCGGAGGACGAAACGCTTCGGCAAAAACTATTTTTTTTCAAATTGTCATTTTTAAGCCATATATATATATATATATATATATATACTAGCAGCATGGACGGCGCTGCCCGTGATTGATTCAAAAATCGTACGACTCATATAGCAATCGCTATCACTTGACTTAAAATATTTTTTTGCCCTTCCTTGCCTTTAAAAGAGTGCCCTTTGCCGTGCTGATGTTGCTACATGCGTTACTTCTTGCCTATCTCACATTGCGAATTTTTTCTAAGCTCTATACTAAACATTAAATCTGTTATGAAAAAAGGACTCAACAAAATGAACACAAAACGATCAGCTTTAAAAAAGGATTCGTAACTGGAAAAACCAAATGAAAAAAGAATGTTAATAACAAATACTTTTTCACACCCAACCCAGTTCTGCGGAATCAGAATCAACGTTGAGTTTAAGCAAGCGAATGAGCCAATTGGAGTAAAGTGCCATGCAACTATCGATTTTTTTTTTTTTGCATGCTAGCATGCTAGTCAACATTCGTGTCAGTCAGCTGTTGGCTCTCACGCTGGCCAATAGAATCTTCCTGCCTATTCGTGGCAGCCAGCAATAGGCTCTCACTCTGGCCAGTAGAAAATGGCCACAAACTACATGAAAATTGCCATAGAAGCATGAATAACTCGATTATTTCCACTATCGATGCGAGTTGGGAAATGCAAAGTCGGTCTTGGCCTTCCTGCTAACTTGGAGCATGTGCATGTAAATTTTGGTGCAAATCCGTCGAAAATTACACACACACACACACACACACACACACACACACACACACACACACACACACACATCCTGCCTTTTTTATATATATATATATATATATATATATATATATTACTGTTTTAAGAAATATAATTAAAATGATCAAATTGGATGCAAAAATTATTGAATATTCCGACAACTTTGTAATCATGGTGACGGAGCAAACGTTCGATTGGTTCCCCCTGGAGAAGTCCACGTGGACAATATCATAATGACAATATCACAAAGACAGTACTTGACACGTCTTAGAGAATTATTACAAAAATATATCACAAATTCTTGAAAATTAAGTCGCTATCATGGCTTCTTGAGAACAACTCTTCATCCTTTCAAAAAACCCTCTACCTAAGCTGAGCAAAATATTAAGAAACAGAAAAATATCGTTAGAAACAAAGAAAAGTTTAGTGCCATGTAGTTTCAGTCTTCCTATATGGCAGTTACTCTCCTGACAGATGAAGAAAAGTCTTCTAGCACCAGAAATGTGCTATTATAAAAGGATGCTGACAATACTATGGCATGAGTATATGAGTAACGATGAGTATTGCCAACAAAAAGGACACTTATGCTTAACACCAGGAATAGGCCGTTGAAATTTATGTGGCACATAATGAGGAAAGAGGGCTTAGAAAATTTGATACCCACAGGACAGATTGAAGTGGTGAGCTTGAAGGAACTGATGGCGGAGCAGATTTTGGGAGAGTTGGCAAAGAAATAAAAGTTATTAAGAGGTACAAAGGACAGGAAATAATGGAGAGTCATGATCGCCAACCTTCTTTAAGGGACATGGCATATAGAAGAAGAAGAAGAAGAAGAAGAAGAAGAAGAAGAAGAAGAAGAAGAAGAAGAAAAGATCAAATGCAATGCAAAAATGATTGAATGTTCAAACAGCTTTGAAATCAAGATGGCGAAACATAAACAATTTACTCTTCACACTGAAGCACATTGTAGATTCAAAAGCCAATACTTGACACGCTTAAGAGAATTAAATAAAAATATATCGCCATGTTTTTACAATACCAAAGAATATTATACGTGTCAAGTTAAAAACCACAAATATATATTTTTTACTTAGCTGATAAACACAAAAAGTTAAAGCCAGTTAACTTTCATCTTCAATAAAAAGCTTTGTTGTATATAAAAATATTACTTCCTTGTTTAATGTCATTGTTTGTTGCTTATTTCCTCGTTTAACGTTGGCGTTTATTTGTTTATTTCCTTGTTTAACGCTACTGTTTATTCGTTCGTTCATTTTCTAGTTTAACATGATCGCTTATTGGTTCATTTCCTCGTTTAGCATTATCATTTCTTTGGTCAATTCCTCGTTTAATGCTATCCTTTGTTTGTTCATTTCCTCGTTTAACGATATCGTTTACTTGTACAAGTCCTCGTTTAACGTTATCGTTCATTTGTTTATTTCTTCGTTTAACGTTTTCTTCGAAAAAACAAATTACATGGAGCTAAATTTCTCTTGTGTAAAATATTGTTTATTCAGTTCCGAATTTCAGCAGTTATTATCAGAGTGAGGATGTGAGTCTCTCTCTCTCTCTCTCTCTCTCTCTCTCTCTCCCTCTCTCTCTCTCTCTAGCCACTCCGGTTAGGTGCATATACATCTCTTCCATTCATCCGCTGGTTACATCCTTACAGGTGCCAATTGCATATATACATCAATATATCTTCCATTCATGGTGACTGGATATTACATCTTCTGGAGACATGGTCTGTTTATCTGGCGCCCTCGTCTTCTTCTCTGGATCCCTGACCAATTGCCATGGTATGTTGAGAAGGCCTGTTTCGCTGGAGTCCAGTGACAATATCAAACGACTTACTGCTAAAATTTGTCTACTTTTTCTGGTGCCCACCTGGTGACTCTGGCGGTGATATTCCAGCGTCCTGGTCTGTTTTCTGGAGACATGGTCTGTTTATCTGCCCTGCTTCTCGCGTCCTGGTCTGGTTCTTGTTGTTTTCTCTGGATCCCTGACCATAGCGTTTTTAATCTGGCTGCTGGCATGGCCTGCTTCTTGGCGCCCTGCCCTGGAGCGTCCTGGCCTGTTTCGCTGGAGTCCTGGCATCCTGGCCTGCTTCTCTGCCCTGCACGTCCTGGTCTGCTGGTTTCTCAGGCGCCCTGACCTGTTTTCAAACGACCTGGTCTGTTAATCTGGTTCTCTGCTCTCTTTTCTGCTAGCGCCCTGGAGCGTCCTGGTCTGTTAATCTGGTTCTCTCTGCTCTGTTTCTCCTTGGCCTGCTTCTCTGGCGCCCTGCCCTGCCCTGCTTCTCTAGCGTCCTGGTCTGTTTCTCTGGCACCCTGGCCTGCTTCTCTGGCGCCCTGCCCTGCCCTGCCCTGCTTCTCTAGCGTCCTGGTCTGTTAATCTGGTTCTCTGCTCTGTTTCTCTGGCGCCCTGCCCTGCCCTGCACTGCCCTGCCCTGCCCTGCTTCTCTAGCGTCCTGGTCTGTTAATCTGGTTCTCTGCTCTGTTTCTCTGGCACTCTGGCCTGCTTCTCTGGCGCCCTGCCCTGCCCTGCCCTGCCCTGCCCTGCTTCTCTAGCGTCCCTGGGTCTGTTAAGCGTCCTGGTCTGTTAATCTGGTTCTCTCTGCTTCTCTGGCGCCCTGCCCTGCCCTGCCCTCTGGCAGCGTCCTGGTCTGTTAATCTGGTTCTGCCTGTTTCTCTGGCGCCCCTGCCCTGCCCTGCATGCCTGCCCTGCCCTGCCCTGCTTCTCTAGCGTCCTGGTCTGTTAATCTGGTTCTCTGCTCTGTTTCTCTGGCACTCTGGCCTGCTTCTCTGGCGCCCTGCCCTGCCCTGCCCTGCTTCTCTAGCGTCCTGGTCTGTTAATCTGGCTCTGTTTCTCTGGCTCTTCTCTGGCGCCCTGCCCTCTGGCATCCTGGTCTGTTAATCTTCTCTGTTAGCGCCCTGCCCCTGCACTGCCCTGCCTCTTCTCTAGCGTCCTGGTCTGTTAATCTGGTTCTCTGCTCTTCTCTGGTTTCTCTGGCTGCCCTGCCCTGCCCTGCCTGTCCTGGTCTGTTAATCTGGTTCTCTGCTCTGCTGGCTGCCCTGCCCTGCCCTGCACTGCCCTGCCCTGCCCTGCTTCTCTAGCGTCCTGGTCTGTTAATCTGGTTCTCTGTTTCTCTCTCCTGCTTCTCTGGCGCCCTTGCTCCCCTGCCCTGCCCTGCCCCCCGGTCCTGGTCTGTTAATTCTGGTTCTCTGCTCTGTTTCTCTGCGCCCTGTCCTGCCCTTCTCTAGCGTCCTGGTCTGTTAATCTGGTTCTCTGCTCTGTTTCTCTGGCACTCTGGCCTGCTTCTCTGGCGCCCTGCCCTGCCCTGCCCTGCGTCCTGGTCTGTTAAGCGTCCTGGTCTGTTAATCCTGGTTCTCTGTTCTCTCTCTTTCTCTGGCACCCTGGCCTGCTTCTCTGGCGCCCTGCCCTGCCCTGCGTCCCTGCCCTGCCCTGCCCTGCCCTGCCTTCTCTAGCGTCCTGGTCTGTTAATCTGGTTCTCTGCTCTGTTTCTCTGGCTGGCCCTGCCCTGCCCTGCCCACTGCCCTGCGTCCTGGCCCTGCACTGTTCCCTGCCCTGCCCTGCACTGCCTGCACTGCCCTGCCCTGCCCCTGCTTCTCTAGCGTCCTGGTCTGTTAATCTGGTTCTCTGCTCTGTTTTTGGCGCCCTGCCCTGCCCTGCACCCTGGCCTGCTTCGTCCTGGTCTGTTAATCTGGCCCTCTTTCTCTGCCCTGCCCTGCCCTGCCCTGCCCTGCTTCTCTAGCGTCCTGGTCTGTTAATCTGGTTCTCTGCTCTGTTTCTCTGGCGCCCTGCCCTGCCCCCTGCCCTCCTGCCCTGCTTCTCTAGCGTCCTGGTCTGTTAATCTGGTTCTCTGCTCCCTCTGGCGCCCTGCCCTGCCCTGCCCTGCCCTGCCCTGCTTCTCTAGCGTCCTAGTCTGTTAATCTGGTTCTCTGGCGCTCTGCCCTGCTCTGGCGCCCTGGCGTATGCTCTGCTCCCTAGTATGCTACTCTGGTGCCCTTGTCTGCTTTTCTGACGCCCGCGTTTGCTCCCTGTCGACCTGGTTGTCTTCTCTGGCGCGCCTGTCTGCTTCTCAGGATCTATTGGCCTGCTTCTCTGGCAGCCTAGTCTGCTTCTCTGGCGCCCTGGTCTGCTTCTTTGGAACACTAGTCTGCAGCTCTGGCGCCTTGGTCTGACCCTCTGGTCACTTGTCTGCTTCTCTGACGCCCTGGCCTGCTCCTCTGGCCTAAGGTTAGAACTGGCATCATGACACTCTCCATTGACAAAAAAAAATACATAGATAAAGCCCTTCGTAAAGTGTGGGCTGTACTTGTGAGAACAATGTTTTGTATTTCTTTGAGGCATGGGCTTCCAGGAATCCCTTCATTTAGTCTACTGGAATCTTTTCCAACTAATCTTAGGGGTCCAACTACAACAGGGATTGTTGATGTTCCCATGTGCCACATTTATTATTATTATTATTAATTTTGCTGCGATTAAACAAAATGACTGATGTAAATCTTCCATTATTCATTATTATTATTGTTGTTATCGTTGTTGATGGTGGTGTTGTCATTAATAATAATAATAATATTAATTTCTAGAAGAGAACGCCTTAAAAATAGAAAAAGAGAACAAAAGGTACTGTATTTAACAAACCTGAACATTATTTTCGACAGTCTGTCTGCCTCCTTCGATTCATGTTTAAAAAGGCATAAAAATATAGAAAACACGTCTTTCTACAAACGCCGCAAAATTGTGGAATTCAAATGAAGCGTAAGTAACATAATGGGGTGTTCTCATCTAAACATTTTCTGTTCGTTTATGAGTTAAAACAGTTTAGTATAAATCTTATCCCTCCTGTGATTTTGTTCATTCTACCACAGTGGAATGTTAGTAATATGCAGATGAATTATTTCCATACGTTTTAAGAGATGCATTTTTTAAAACATATCTTGAAGTCAAGCATACTGTCGAAATATTGTTAAACATTGCTAAACACTGTATATATTTTTTGTTTTCTTAAACCGGGCTCTTCTGCGTCCTGGATATGACGATAAACTACATCCGCGTCCTGGATATGACGATAAACTACATCCGCGTCCTGGGTATGGCGATAAACTACATCCGCGTCCTGGGTATGGCGATAAACTACATCCGCGTCCTGGGTAAAATGATAAACTACATCCAACAGCAAGGCCTCTGATCAGGAAGTTTTGAGGAGCGTGGAACGACCTCTTAATTGCTGGTGTTTCCAGGTCCACCCTGACCCAGACTGGTAGCACCGGTTTGGTTAAATAGTTAACTGAGGTAAAAAGCATTATAAAAGTGTAAAAATAGGTTTTAATACCAGAAATACTTTGTAAAAAATTATTACCAGAAATGAATTTTTGAAAAAAAAAAACTTTTACCGGCAATATATTTTTGAAAAAAAAAAAGCATTCCTAGCAAAATATTTAAAAAAAAAAAAATTACCAGCAATACGTTTTTGAAAAAAAATAAAATATTACCAGCAATACATGTTTTAAAATAATATTACCAACTATGCATTTTTGAGGAAAAAATATTACCAGAAATAGATTTTTGACAAAACAAAATATTACCCGGGAAAAAAAAGTTGTCGGCATTAAATAACCCATTGAGGTTGATCTGCTGTAAAACACATCAAACCAAACCAAACCAAACCAAACCAAACCAAACCAAACCGGGCTCTTCTGAAATTATTATTGTTATTATTGACATCACCACCACCTCCAACAACAACAACAACAACAATAATAATAATAATAATAATAATAAAAATAATAATGCTTTAGCTCTTGATATCAAACATTATAATTAAAAAGACTGTTTGGCTTCAACGTTATCTTCTAGAAATATCCTTGCCAACAATGTAATTAAAATTCAATAAAACTTAAGATTACTTAGAATATTTTCCCCAAATTTTAAGATTACTTTTTAAAAAAAAAGTAATTTTAAAAATATTATACAAAATGGTTCTTAAGTTATATTCTGCAATAATTTTTACAGATATGTATCCCGTAGAAAAAATTAGTTAAATTTCTGGCTGTTAATAAAGCTGTCAAAACCTCATAAAAACACCTTCCTCTGTGTTGAAAAATATGCATTTCTGCGATATATCTTGTATGAAGGGAAAGTTTATTGTCCTATGCGTTTTTTTGTTTCTAACGAAACCTTTTCAGAGTATCTTACTTTGTATGAAATGGACAAAATAATAAAATCTTTGGAAGAAAATAGATTCCTACACAACTACTAACATATTACCGTTCATAACAAATGCGTATTTTTATGCATTATACAGATTCAGGAGCAAAGGTTTCCTTGAAGAGAAAATTCCGTGCCACCTTTTCAAGATACAAACATTCTCTCTCCTTTCATTTACTCGCCATACAAAGACAAGCAGCAGTCGCTATCCTTGTGTCGGAGTTAAATTTACTAACGTTGTCGTAAAAAAAAAAAATCTTCTTTCCGGATGCTAGAAAAATTATTGATTTTTCAATATAAATAACGCGACTCATCGCAAATGAAAATATTTTCCCGCAAACAATGAGCCAGTTCATTCATTGAGAGTTATTTTGGAACCAAGATTTTCTTCGAAAGAAAATACCATTTCAAAAGACATCGATTCTTCATCAATGTTTTTTTTTTTTTTTTTAGACATCGAAGTGGCATGGCTAAGAAAGAATTCTAGTGATAAAACGTGCCAATCTTATGCAGATTGGCATGAAAATTTTTTTCACAGGTGTCAGAGGTCACTGTTCAAATCCCATTAAAAGTCAGATTATAACTTTCTGATTTTGTAATCCTGCAGACCCTCCACAGAGATTGGAGTGTTGCTAACCCTCCCAACAAGTAATAATCGAAAAGGCCACAAGAAATGAAATATCAATAAGAAAGAAAGAAAGAAACAAAGAAAGAAAGAAACAAACAAACAAACAAACAGGTTACTCTTTTCAGCTCGCACATGACGTCATCGGTTTAAGAAACATCTTTGGTGCTCATTAACATTGGGGACCGATAAAGAAGGAGAGTTAGATTAAAAAGAAAGTTAATAGAAAATAATCAAGTAAAAGAAAGAAAGAAAGAAAGAAAGAAAGAAAGAAAGAAAGAAAGAAAGAATGAAAGAAAAGTAGAATTAACAGAAAAAAAGAAAGAAAGAAATGATGAAATAAGTTTGAGTGAACAGAAACAAAAAAAATGAAAAGTAGAAAAATTAACAGAAGACAGAAAGAAAGAAATTATGAAAAAAAGTTGTGTAGAAAGAAAGAAAGAAAGAAAGAAAGAAAGAAAGAAAGAAAGAAAGAAAAAAGATTGAATGGAATTAAAAAACGAAAAGTAAACAGAAAGAAAAAAATGAGCAGAATGCATGTGAACAAAAGAAAGAAGGATTGTATAAACATAAAAAGAAAGAACGAAAGAAAAAAGGAAAAAGAAAGAACGAAAGAAAAAAGGAAAAAGAAAGAACGAAAGAAAAAGAAAAAAGAAAGAACGAAAGAAAAAAGGAAAAAGAAAGAAAGAACGAAAGAATGAAGGAAAGAAAAAGAAATAACAAGTTCAAGTGTATAGAAAGGGAAAATATATAGTAATAATAGTAATAAGAAAGAAACGGCGAAGAAAAAAATGAACCGAAGAAAAGAGAAAAAGAAAGAAAGAACGAGAAGAAGTTAAACAACAAGAACTCGATTCATAAGAGAAATAAAATTTAAAAGAAAGGCAGAGATTGAATTTTATAAAGAACGAATGATACGTTCTTAGTCATAATTTAATTCGTAACCAGTTCTGAAACTTTATAAGGCTGCACTAGGAACGACAAGAACTAGGCTAAAGAAAAACAGAAAAATAATTCTTTCCCTTTTTTTTTTTTTTTTTATTTTTCACCTTAAGCTCTCTAAATCAGAAAGGTCAACGTATTATGGGAAATACTGTGCAATTCTTTATGTATCAACATCAATTCATAGAAATTGGGAAATATAATGGAAATTAAGGGAGGTAATGAGATTTTAATTTAACGTGGTTAGCTCCCTTAAATACCTGAAAATTTATTTTCTTCGTTTTTCTTTGCATTTAGAAATTTATCATTTCATGACCAGTAAGATAAAGAAAAATAAGGCTTATGTCAGTCAATATCGTTGAAGCACAGAAAAAACATATGGAACCCAGTTTTTCTGATGTATAAACAAACAAAATAGGGACAAAATCTAGAACGTCTCCGGAGAAAATTCTTCCTTCTCTTTCTACTCAGTATATAATCCCTTACCGTGTTATTACCAGAGACCTGTGGTAACACATGTTAGTAAATATATGCATTTTAATGGCACAAATTATTTTGTTAATGCTCTTACCTGTTTTGATCGTGCCCAGTGCTCCAAATATTATTCGGCATAAAAGCAGTTTTATGGTGGTACAATTTTTCAATTTCAAGATACTACTTCAACTCTTTAATTCTAAAAGCTCTATC